AAACACCTCTAGTTAGTCGCCTCTTGGACTCGGAGGGAAACACCTCTAGTTAGTCGCCTCTTGGACTCGGAGGGAAACACCTCTAGTTAGTCGCCTCTTGGACTCGGAGGGAAACACCTCTAGTTAGTCGCCTCTTGGACTCGGAGGGAAACACCTCTAGTTAGTCGCCTCTTGGACTCGGAGGGAAACACCTCTAGTTAGTCGCCTCTTGGACTCGGAGGGAAACACCTCTAGTTAGTCGCCTCTTGGACTCGGAGGGAAACACCTCTAGTTAGTCGCTCTCTTGGACTCGGAGGGAAACACCTCTAGTTAGTCGCCTCTTGGACTCGGAGGGAAACACCTCTAGTTAGTCGCCTCTTGGACTCGAAGGGAAACACCTCTAGTTAGTCGCCTCTTGGACTCGGAGGGAAACACCTCTAGTTAGTCGCCTCTTGGACTCGGAGGGAAACACCTCTAGTTAGTCGCCTCTTGGACTCGGAGGGAAACACCTCTAGTTAGTCGCCTCTTGGACTCGGAGGGAAACACCTCTAGTTAGTCGCCTCTTGGACTCGGAGGGAAACACCTCTAGTTAGTCGCCTCTTGGACTCGGAGGGAAACACCTCTAGTTAGTCGCCTCTTGGACTCGGAGGGAAACACCTCTAGTTAGTCGCCTCTTGGACTCCGAGGGAAACACCTCTAGTTAGTCGCCTCTTGGACTCGGAGGGAAACACCTCTAGTTAGTCGCCTCTTGGACTCGGAGGGAAACACCTCTAGTTAGTCGCCTCTTGGACTCGGAGGGAACACCTCTAGTTAGTCGCCTCTTGGACTCGGAGGGAAACACCTCTAGTTAGTCGCCTCTTGGACTCGGAGGGAAACACCTCTAGTTAGTCGCCTCTTGGACTCGGAGGGAAACACCTCTAGTTAGTCGCCTCTTGGACTCGGAGGGAAACACCTCTAGTTAGTCGCCTCTTAGACTCGGAGGGAAACACCTCTAGTTAGTCGCCTCTTGGACACGGAGGGAAACACCTCTAGTTAGTCGCCTCTTGGACTCGGAGGGAAACACCTCTAGTTAGTCGCCTCTTGGACTCGGAGGGAAACACCTCTAGTTAGTCGCCTCTTGGACTCGGAGGGAAACACCTCTAGTTAGTCGCCTCTTGGACTCGGAGGGAAACACCTCTAGTTAGTCGCCTTTTACGACATGCTAGTGCAGTGGGGCTGTTCTAATTTGAAGAGGTAATTATTAGCCCGGTGGAAACATGATTTTACACACATACACACACACATACGCACGCAGCACGCACACACACACGCACGCAGCACGCACGCACACACACACACAGCACGCACGCACGCACACACACACACACATACACACACGCACACACACACACACACACACACAAATCTGTAAAGAAGAGAACTAGAGAAATAAATCCTGTTTAACACAGAAACATCGCCCAGGTATGCCAAGGTGACACCTGGTCTAGCCGTGAAAGGTGTTCTAACTGCAACCTTTCAGAAGGTTGAACGAGGTATCTGGCTTTTGTTTTATTGGAGTGCCTTCAAGTCCACTTCATAACGCTTATCGGCTGTAAACTGCAGCCGAAAGTTTTGGCTGATCATCCATTTCTGCATTCTGGTCTTGTTCCATAACTTGAGATTCGAATGCACATCCGTTTTACAGATCTCGCTTATCTGTATGCCGCCTGTTGGTTCCTCGCCTCTCAGACATATGCACTACAACTTCAAATAAAACACCTCAATTTGGTCGTCCTCTACGGAAAGCCTGATGGGTGTGGTGGGTCTATTCTATCCTCCCCTGGAACCTCAGAGCCAACACTGGGGAAACTGTCATCCGGAGGTAACTCTTTGACTCGTAGGGGTGGCAATGCTGTAGGTAACAAAGTCTTCTTTTTAAGCCCTGGCCGTGTGGCGTTGGTGGTCATGTATACCCACAAGCTTCTGTCTCGTGTACTTTCAATCAACTCTGACACAGATGATCATCCAAAGTCCATGCCGTGTGACGTTGGTGGTCATGTATACCCACAAGCTTCGGTCTCGTATACTTTTAATCAACTCTGACACAGATGATCCTCCATGCCATGATACCAACCCGCCCAGCATCTTTTTACTCGGTTCTGCTTCTTTTCCTCTTTAACTTTCCTACTGACACGATGTACTCCAGTTTTCTCATTCTCATCATGTGACCAAAGAATGTGTCTCTTTCTGATGTTGGCAATCAGTTCTCTTCGTTTTTCAGTCCCTTTGAAGAAATCTTCAATACTCGTCTGTCCAGAGTTTTCTCATCATTCGTCTATAGAACCACATCTTCGCAGCTTCCAAATAATTGTTCACTTATCTGCAAACTGTCCATGATTCACTTCCTTATATCAAAACAGAACTTACTTAGCTTCTAAGAACTGTATTTATATCAATTGACAAAGAAACGTAACAGTGTAGTGAAACAATATTAAATCAGTCTTTTCAATACCCAATTCACACGCAAAACTATTAGGGATTTCTAGGAAGCGTGCACAAATATATTTAAGTTTCAGGGACAGTAACTGGCATATATCAGGATGCAAAGTTAGAACACAGTTATTTATCTTTGCGAACTGTTCTACAGACAGTTAGTCGAGGACACTACAAGCCACCCGATGCATCAGGCATACAAGGAGAGTTGGCACTTGGTGGGTAATGTGGTTAACATCATACCGGCCGGCTTTACTTCCCAGGACTTTACACTGTAACCGTTTCCCGTTTTACGCTGGGTCGACCTGGGAGCCAAAGTCCTTGGTGAGATTTGGACCTGAAAACCTTCAGGTTGGCAGTCGGACTTCCAACTGCTCCACCACGGCGGCTCTAATAGAATGTTTTCGCAGTAAGTAAAAGTAGGTCAAAGACCCTTTCCATGCCCTTAGGCACATTGGGCATAGATCGACCTATATTTTATAGACTAATCGGTCTTCGGTGACTGAAATGATCAACATCACGTAGGCTGTTTTTACTTCCCATGACTTAACCTAGGACTCACTGAAGGCTGGGTCCACCTGGGTCCATCTGGGTCCACCTAGGATCCCAGGTCGTTGTTGGAACAAGTCCAGCTCCGTCAGGACCTTGACCCATGACCTTGGTATCCGCAGGCGAGCGTCTAACCGCTACATCACGGGAGCTCCCTGTATGTTTCACACACTAACAGATAAATATTGAAGATGTTTACAAATGTGTGTGCTTGTCTCCCACAGGCACAGGAAGGACATACGCCTACAATGTCAACTACGCCCCCGGGAAAATAGACAGCGTCAGAGTGCCAAAAACAACTTACTGATTACTGATTCACGAATCGACATCACAGCACACGCAGCAGGTTTTTATGTGTTTTGTTTATGCAACGGATCAACGTCATGGACAGAGGGTGGTCACCCGTAAGTGCTCCGTTCTACTTCTAACTCAAGCCTGATTGGGATGAATCTCTGCGCAGTGCACGAATTTCGTAGCACCGGCAAGGATCCAAAAATACTATGGGTAGATTTAAAACTGTAAATGTTGGCCTGGGCAGCGCCGTATAGAAGCTCTGTTTGTCGCAGCAGATGTCTTCCGTAGCGCACATTGTTCTCTGCCTTTTATACGCCAGTGTTTGCCGGATCCACACCAAAGTCCTCGTTCAGACATTCTTCATTATTCCATCTACCTTAGTTCTTGGATCAGCATTCGCACAGATGCCGTCTTCGGAGTGACCCTTTGTCCTGTATGTGTTTCCAGCCAAACATTCCGCTCTTTCATTCCCTTGCACTCCTGCCTTTCCCGGACTATATTCAAATACGAATTATTCAAAGTAAACGAGGTATTATTATTATTATATCTCAATCGTCCTCCCGTTGTAGGGTGCAATTTTTTGTTATTTTAAAGCCACACACTGGCTCTTGTCAGGGGCTGCAATATAGCCCGGCCATAAATATGGCCTAATGGCTCAACAAGGTTTCTGCGACCACTCCAAGGGTGATCCTCATCCACCTGGTGGCACTTTGTGTCGCCGGGTGCTTATCGCTTGTGTTATGTCCTGGTTGAGTGAAAAGACAGTCACCCAGTCAGTAAATCCAATTGAGGCCCTCAATATTGCCGTACAGATGCTTGGTATCCACTTACGCCACACTTGTCCATGTTTTAACCCCGGAGAGCCAGACAATTTGAAAGATGTCTGTTTCGCAAAACCCAGTCTAATACAGGCTTGTGTGCCCATTTTGTGACCCACTAAAAAAAAAGTTCGTTTATCCATTCTCTGCTACCTGGCTATGTCCATTTGTATCATCTTCTCCTAAATCTCTCTCCTCTCTCCTGGATAACGATTTGAACTGACACCAGCTCAACCTCAGTGTTCTGTCTCACTGACCATGTCACCCTAGCAAACCTCACTTGTCCTTATCCCTTATTCATATCACGGTCAGCGCTAGCTTTCTCTACCCTCCCACCCAGCAAAATCTCACTGTTTCGCCAGACATTTACCATACACTTTCAAGACACGCCACAACCAGACATTTACCTTACACTGTCAAGACACGCCACAACCAGACATTTACCTTACACTGTCAAGACACGCCACAACCAGACATTTACCTTACACTGTCAAGACACGCCACAACCAGACATTTACCTTACACTGTCAAGACAAGCCACAATCAGACATTTACCTTACACTGCCTAGACAAGCCACAACCAGACATTTACCTTACACTGTCTAGACACGCCACAACCAGACATTTACCTTACACTGTCAAGACAAGCCACAACCAGACATTTACCTTACACTGTCTAGACAAGCCACAACCAGACATTTACCTTACACTGTCTAGACAAGCCACAACCAGACATTTACCTTACACTGTCTAGACAAGCCACAACCAGACATTTACCTTACACTGTCTAGACAAGCCACAACCAGACATTTACCTTACACTTTCAAGACAAGCCACAACCAGACATTTACCTTACACTTTCAAGACAAGCCACAACTAAACACTTACCTTGCGCTGTCAAGAAATGAATATTATCATTTCCCAACCAAAACTCTCCCTCCAGGGATCCGAACCCACGCCTGTATTCCTCCCAACCTCTGAAGAAATCCACCGAACCATCCTGGCGTTTTTGAATGACAGTCCACCCTGAAGAAAAAAAAATAAATCAACTTTTGAATTCAACAGCTGTCTGCTTGTATTTTCAGTGCGGTTGTTTTCGGCTTGTCTTATCGTGCATGTCTTATCATGCATGTCTTATCGTGCATGTCTTATCGTCCATGACTTATCGTGCATGACTTATTGTGCATGACTTATCGTCCATGACTTATCGTCCATGACTTATCGTCCATGACTTATCGTCCATGACTTATCGTCCATGTCTTATCGTCCATGTCTTATCGTCCATGACTTATCGTCCATGTCTTATCGTCCATGACTTATCGTCCATGTCTTATCGTCCATGTCTTATCGTGCACGTCTTATCGTGCATGTCTTTTCGTCTTCCTTGTCTCATCAGTTTATCTTCTGTCAGATTGTCTTCATTATTCATATGTTGTTAATTCCTTTCTAATATCGTTGGTGTTCCTTTTTTTTTTTTTTTTTCTCTCTCTTTGGCGTGTCTTTTCTTTCATTTTTCCATTCCACGATAGAATTTTTATTTTTTTCTTTATTCCTATTTCTTTTAACATTCATCAGGTTTTATGCTAGTATGAAGTTAAAGCCACCAACGCCGCACGGCATGCACTATGGAAGATTATCTGTGTCAGAACTGACTAAAAGTACATGAGACAGGAGGCTGTGGATAAAGATGACTACCAACGCCACAAGGCATGCACTATATAAGATCATCTGTGTCAGAACTGACTAAAAGTACATGAGACAGGAGGCTGTGGATAAAGATGACTACCAACGCCACAAGGCATGCACTATATAAGATCATCTGTGTCAGAACTGACTGAAAGTACATGAGACAGAAGGCTGTGGTTAAAGATGACTACCAACGCCGCACGGCATGCACTATGGAAGATCATCTGTGTCAGAACTGACTAAAAGTACATGAGACTGAAGGCTGTGGATAAAGATGACTACCAACGCCACAAGGCATGCACTATATAAGATCATCTGTGTCAGAACTGACTGAAAGTACATGAGACAGAAGGCTGTGGTTAAAGATGACTACCAACGCCACAAAGCATGCACTATGGAAGATCATCTGTGTCAGAACTGACTAAAAGTACATGAGACAGAAGGCTGTGGATAGAGATGACTACCAACGCCACAAGGCATGCACTATGGAAGATCATCTGTGTCAGAACTGACTAAAAGTACATGAGACAGAAGGCTGTGGATAGACATGACTACCAAAGCTTCATGAAGTGTTCATTCCCATACCATCTTGTCTTCCCCAGACAAATCCCTGACAATTGACCGGCAGCCATTTTTGAGGTCTTGTAAAAACAAAAGCAGTTCTGATTTTGCTCCGTAAAAACGTTATGAATCTCTTGGACGGCCAGAGTAACTAACAACGATTGTCTGAAAGAAGCTAATAATGAAGCCACATAATGAGAAGAGAGACAGTGGAGAACATGGTGACAACTGGAAAGATCAGTGGAAAGAGGGGTAAATGTAGACCAAGCGAGATGATGCTGGATGGGTGGAAAAGATGGCATGGAGGGATATCATCAAGAGAGCTGTTCCAGGCAACCAGGGATCGTGATCTGTGGAGATGCATGAGCGCCTACACCAGCTGGCATGGCATACGATGATGGTTCATGTACCCACACGATTTTCGGTACTGCAGTCTGCAGAATTACCACATCAAGAAACCAATCTCAAATATCGAGTTAAACTTCTTAACAGATACTGGATACACAACACATGTACAACTGCAAGAGTGGCTAGAATGCATTGTAAAAATCTTGCCACTTGTTAAAACTGAACCGAAACAAATGTCCTCATCCACCTTGATTGTCTACTTGGCAAACTGCATGTTTTTCTTTCAGCAGAGCGTTACACTTTAACTCTATCGCTCGACTACTTCCATCAACGACAACCTGCATTTCTGGTAAAGACTGTTGGTTTTGGCGCCTCTAGCGACTGCAATGTGCATTTACTGCTTGCGCATATTTCTGGATTGCTCCGGGACTAATTCATTGTTCACCAGTTTTTCAAATGGTGCAATGAGGGACATTTCATTTGATTTTCACTGACACAGGAACGGAGCACGTATGGGGTGACCCGACTGCTATGATGTTGAAACCTCGACTAAGATTTAGACAAAGACTGGTGAAAGTAAAAACACTGGCAACTTACCGGAATTGTTCACCATCTTGCAGAGTACTTTAAAGGCATGAGAGACGCCCGCTGGCTTGATCATAATGTAATAGTCTCCCATGAAGCGCATTCCGCCTTGATCAAACACTTCCTGGCATTCTGTGGATTCAGGCAATGTACCAGGTAATGAGCAGCCTAGAAAATCATTAACTCGCAACTGCGTCCCACTCAACGCACCGTGTGTCATGTGTTTTTGGTACGTTCTCTTCTTGTTTGTGCGTTTACACATGTGACGCCGTGTATGTTTTATGTAAGGTCTATGAGTGTTGTGTATTTGAAGTTAATGCGAGCAAAGTTTAAAAACTCATAAACCGCATCTCGTCCTGAAAGCTGGAGTATTTGGGTCATAGTGGCTTGGAGAGAAGGGTGATGGTTTGTGGGTGGGGGGGGGGGGGGTGGTTTAGCTTCCGGAAAAAGAGACAGAAGCAACTGGAAGACGCACTGGATATAAACGCTTACATATTGTAGAACTGGATAGATAGAGAGATAGGGAGAGAGAGAGAGATAGAGGGAGGGACAAAGAGAGGGGAAGAGAGAGAGAGATAGAGGGAGGGGAAGAGAGGGGAGAGAGAGGGGGAGAGAAAGGTAGAGAGAGAGGGATGGCTAGAGGGGGAGAGAGAGAGAGGGAGAGAGAGGGAGAGAGAGAGGGAGAGAGAGAGGGAGGGAGAGAGATAGATGGAGGGACAGAGAGAGGAAGAGAGAGAGAGTGAGAGAGAGAGAGAGAGAGAGAGAGAGAGAGAGAGAGAGAGAGAGAGAGAGAGAGAGAGAGAGAGAGAGAGAGAGAATCTGAGGCGTTCGTGACAGGGAAAATGTTCTGTAAAGGATCTGCTGACTTATGACATGAAAGTTTACAAATAAAGAAGCGGAAGGAAGGCTGAACAAGATACAAGTTAGTGAATACCGAGGGATAAATCTTCTTCTTCTTGTTTTGTTGCTGCTTCTTCTTCTGCTTCTTTTTCTACTTCTTCTTCTTCTTCCTCCTTCTCTTCTTATTCCTACTTGTTTCTCATTTTCTTTTTCTTCTTATCTTATCGTTTTTCATCGTCACACTGTATACGGGTTGTAGGACAATCTGTATTTATCTAACGCTCCTCCAGTGGAAGTCAATTGTGCAGTTGTAACATTGTTTTGAGGAGTCAACTAATCAGTACATTCAACTCTGCCTTGGTCTTCCTTTCACCTTCTGCTCAAATATTCCACCAGAGAACGTTTAGTGTAGATGCATTCTTTCCAGATGGCCAAATCACTTCATTCTCGATCTATCAGTGTAAATCAGACATGGTCTTGTTTTAACTTTCTCTATAAAGCTGCTATCTATGACCCTTAGCTTTAGGAGATATCGTATCTCACGCATTTCTGTTGGGGAGCCGACTTGGTGTAGCGGCTATACGCTAGCCAATGGATCCTAAAGTCATTGGTTAAGTTCCTGGGCATTTTTCAAAAGGAGTGATGCTGACCACAACACCCACCGAGCGCCGACTATTTCCCAGGATTACACCTGGCACCCAATGAAATCTGGGTCGACCGGTTAGCCAAGTTCCTTTCTGAAAAACGTCCGGCTCCGTCAGCACCCGAACCCAGGACCTTCGGATCGGCAGGTCGAGCGTCTAGCCGCTACACCAGGGCGACTCACAGGACGCCTAACTAGTTACCATTTCGACATGCTTGTAAGGGAGCAAAGTCTACAAACCCCCCCCCCCCCCCCCCTCCTCTCCCCAAATGGGATCTAAGACTTAACACGGGGATATAAAGAAAGTGAGGTGTGATTAATTCACTTGAATAATTGAGAAAGGAAACATCTCTTCTAAACTAGACACGCACATGCCAACTTTGTGATTGGAGCCAGAGACTGTATACCGAATGATTGGACATTCTAGGCACGAGTTGTCCCGCAGTAAACGCTGACGTCGGCTAGCGGGTGCAACATTTCTCTAGATATCAATTTATGGATACCGCATTTGCTAAGCGGGACGTTTCATGTTGGGGAGGAAGAAATGATATTCTTCTTCCTCTTTTCTCTACTTCTGGAATGCCTGGCATTGTCAGGGCAGGAAGACATCTTGTGACCTGGCCCTTCTCTTCGTTTCATATAAAGTTTTCTTTCAGTGTCTCTGATATTTCCGTGGTCCATCATCTGCGATGTCGACCTCTAGTTCTGACTTTGATTGTCGAGTTCAAGTGTGATCACTCTAGGAAGTTTGAAAATACTGCGGCTGGTCCGGCAAACCGGCTGAAAAAAGAAACCCGGCTGAAGCACAATCAATGTCGAACTGTTATCCATTTTATTGTAGACACAATTGCACATAAAGGTATTAAATGAAGATTATCACTGAAAGCAGTCATGCAGTTCATGCAACACATGAGAATGCTAACTGGTAGGAGAAAGAGAGAGAATAGAAGAAGAAGAAGAAGAAGAAGAAGAAGAAGAAGAAGAAGAAGAAGAAGAAGAAGAAGAAAAAAAAGAACAACAAAAAAGACAACAACAAGCAGAACAACAGGGTTACTCCACAAGGACACTAGGTTGGAGTCTCTAAACAATGCAGTGTCTAAAACAACAATAGGAAACACGACCAATGGACCAACGCGAAGGAAACATGGCCAACAAGGACGAAATATTACCAACGTGGAAGGAACATGAACAATCTGAAACGAACGAACGAACTTTATTTTCAAAG